ACAAAAACTTTAAGTTCTTTACCAAACACTCCACGGTTCTAAGTAAAAGGTAGCTATTGTACGCGTGTTCGACAGTGACGAATAAAGACATACTTCGTTCGATTGATACAATATCGTATACATTAGGTACGTTTAATAATAACGGAAATTTAAAAACTTCACATTACAATTAATGTAACATTATAGTATGTTTTTATGATTTAGTAATTTATGGTTTAAGTATAAATAATAACGCCTTTTAAAATTATTTCATCTTTTCTGTAATTAATTATTATGTTCAATGCCTATAAATTTTACTTCATTAATTTTATACATCTACTACTAATTTAAGCATTAAATTGTCGCATCATATCGGTAACATTACAATAAAAAACACTATATGTACAGATGTGTATATAGGTAAGACGACTTGTACAACGTTGATCCTGGAAATAGATCTTTATTCAGCCTGGTAAACATAATATGTATATTGCAAATAAAACTTCAGCAAAAGAATTTTACATCCATCTATCTTTTATTGAGAAAATTCACAAGCATGCTTAATTACATGGCATCAAAAGTTTGTTGATGACAAACTCATGAACAATTTCAGTGGTGCGTGCTTAGGAATAATACGTACGTGAGAGATGTTTATTGCCAAAAATATTATCGTCTGTGACGTCCAACCAAATACATTTACCCAAAAATGTAAACAAGGAACAATAAAGACAACTTCTGTACACCAACGCGCTTAATTAAGCATCATATGAATGTAGCATAAATAAAATCCAATCAAACTTGGACGAGAAGGAAATTAAGTTTTCTAATTTCCTGTTTGTAGTAAATACAATATATTCGAGTCTATGTTTGCGTGAAATTGTATTTATTTGCAACCCAAATTGCAATCGAAACCTTCCGCGAATATCAACATTCAACATAAACAAACAGATTGCAAATATGTGTAAAAAAAAATAATACAGTGCAATAATGTAATGTATAATTGAGATATCATAGAAATACAATACCTATAGTAATGGTAATGGAAAGTAAAAATGGTTTGTGATTCCCTTAAGCACATTTCCGCCGTATTTCTACCTAGAAGACATTTTGTTTCACAAAAACCAGTGTCACACAATAGTTACAAAATTAGATATAAAAACAAATATATAAAGAACTAGGGCTTCCATGCTAAATGGTTCCTGAATTGTACCACAGTACAAAAATAGAGCATTTTGTATTATTGTATATGAAACGTATGTTATATACAAAAATATATGACAAAAACAAAAAAGCAAGAACCGCTTAACATCCCTTGACATATTGAATAGATTGTGAAGTGCATTCTAGACTTCTAGATAAAGGACCTTATTTAAACACCTTTATCTCAGAGCAAACTTCAGCTATTATTCTTAGCACTTTAGTCATCACGTGTACACATATGTACATATGTGTGTGTGTAATATGTACAGAGAGACAGTACACATAGTAAGGGAAGCGCACTACCGCTGCTACCATAAGTTATAGCAGTTTCTGAAATGTAGACGTAACTATATTACCACATAGTATAGACTAAAATCTACTTGGCTGCAAAGAGAAAAAATATTGTTTATAGAAAATATACCATATAAGTTCACCATAGTTATTTAAATAATAATGAAATTGTATTTATTTATTTATAATAGGTAAAATGCATATTTATCCAATATGTATATATACCGAACTATTATGTAAATCACTCTTTGATTAACCCTGGGAAAGATTACAGTTATTACTAATGTAATTTAATATACTATTACCTTATAGTAATCCAAATATATTGCTATGCTAATCAAGGAAATCATATACTTATTTTTAGAAATAAGTTTACACTTTTAATAGGCACAGATGTTGTACTTAATATACAAACCTGAATACTGATGAGAGGTTCAATATATTAAATTAAGACACATAATAAACAACAAAACGTTATTCACGAAAATAGCAAAGCGATTCTCACAGTACATCATTTTACGACATCTGCATTGCAAATTTATCCGAAAGCTGGTCCCTCAAGTTTTCTACAATAAAGTACTATATATGATATAACAGATCATATTTTTACCTAAAAAATAAAAGTCCTTTTTAAAGCATTCCCCGTACCCGAAGGGTTTGAAATTAAACCTTCATGTTTCCTCCGTCTGGCGTAGTTATTAACTCCTACATTTTGCATATCAAAGTTTACATATAATATGTAAATTAATGGCCTAGAAATGAAAGTCATTGATGTAACAAAAGAGTTTTTTAAATTTACCAACGGACATTAGAAATAAAACTCGTTGAGGTAACAAAAGAGTTTGGTAAATTTACCAACGGACACAAAAGAGTTTGTTAAATTTACCAACGGATATTACAAATGAAAGTCGTTGACGTAACAAAGGAGTTTGTTACATTTACCAACAGACATTATTGTAATTTGTAAGTTCCATCTTGACTCTATCATTCATAAAATGTTTAAATTCTGACTTTTAATAACAACTTAATATTAGTTCAAATAACTGCGCAACTTAACCACTGAAAAGCTGTGCACATTTTACATACTACACACTTTTCACATCGTGTCATTTGTAGATATAAATGTAGTATTATTCATTATTTAAGCCAGTATTTTAACAGTTCTTTCACACTAAATGTCGTAAATCATATATTTTGCAGTAAATAGTTGCCGTCACAAAAAAAAAAAACATTCAAGTAGTATAAAATTAAATAATAAACGCTTTACATTTATGCGCTATCATATAGGTAGGTATAATGAAATCTAATTTTTAAAGAGAGTCTACCACTGTCTCTACCAAATTTGTTTTATGATCGATTATTCCGTTACCAAAGAATAAGTTAGAAATATATGAATTAACAAACGAAGTTTTTTATGAACTAGCAATCCAACTCTGAACATACCGATCTCGATGCTCTGTAGCCGATCAGACGCTCTGCACATGACAGAAAATATAGAAATTTTTTAATAATATATTTATATTGAAGTCGAAAAACTACATACCAGTATTATAAAGCAAGTAGTCACCTGTCTATTATTTGAAATAATCTTACTTTCAAACTTCGTTTTCCAATAATACTAAACTGCAGACCTTTCATAAATTTACATAAACTGAGTTAAAGAAAATGCAACTGTAATCTACAGAGTCTGTTATATGATCAGTTATGTTTTACAATACTTTGCTAAAAATCAAGTATTTTGCTGATAAAGTAATTTTATTACAATTATACGATTCTACAAATATATACGTTTTAAATTGCACAAACTAGTTTACGAGGCAGTAGGTATTAAGTACTTGCCTATACTATGGCAAAATGAGCAATTAATATGACTCGATCATATATCTATCATTCTCTGGTGGGGTAATAATGGAATCTTAGCGTAAGCAGGAACACCATTCCATTGTGACCCATTTAAAATAATACTGCACATAATTTTATTTTTAGACCAAACATGCCCATGTCAAATATTTTAAACTATATTTAATCTTCTTTAATTCATATTTATTTATTTTTATAACATATAAATAAAATATATTTTATTGTTTATGAGTGATGTAAATTTTCCTCAAAGTTAAATATAAGCATTTCAAAAAAATAAAAAGGACTACACAATCTGTCTTAAATGAAAATAGATTGTTTGCATAAGACCTTTGTTCGTAGAATGTCAATAACAGAGTAAAAAAGAATGAATAATATTATTAGGTCAAGATTGAAAATAAATTTCTTTGTCGTAGATAATTGAAGATAGTAAATTATTACGAGATCAACAGATTTCTTTTCCATCTTCTATTTAGGATAAATGTCAGATAATGACAGCTTTTTCTACATTGAACTGTACATACTAGACATTCCGTTTTGCCAATAATTAAGTGTTTTATATAGAACTAGCTACTCGCCCCGGCTTCGCCCATGTGTACAAGTATTATATATAAACCTTCCTCTAGAATCACTCTATCGATAAAAAAACAGCCTCAAAATCCGATGCGTAGTTTTAAAGATTTAAGCATACATAGGTACAGACAGCGACAGCGACTTTGTTTTATACTATGATGATAATAATGATGAAGATATCACAGATTCCCTCAAAAAATCCGAATGTATTTATTTATAAAAATGTTATATCTACATTTATGTGTATAATATGTGTCCATAACATATATATACTTAACATTATAACTTCGACAGTGTCTGTCTTTTTGTCACCCTTTGATGTCTAAATGGTTGAATAGTTCTTAATAAAATTGTATATGAATATAAATTGTATGAAGAGGACGAGCTTGGCTACCTTTTACCAAAAAATGCTGATGAAGTCTCGACTTCAGAAACAGCTGATATGTAGTTGTACCTGCTGCGGACCCGTAATCAGCCCAAATCTGGACTGATTTTTAGCATGTATTTGATACAATTCATCAGATAAAAAAAAGATTGTGTGGTCGCAGGCAATTTGTGTAAATATTAACAATTTATATATCAACTAACAGTAGAAATGTGTGGATGGTAGTGGTTGAACAGTTTTTCAGTTTTGTAACCTACTAGCTATTATATATCCTCGGATAAAAAGTTATTCAACTTATGTCTATCTGAGTATTTGTCATTCCAATCATTTCAATAGTCCTTGTTGTGAAGTAACTTTACACGTGAATGGAGAGATCTATTCATTGTCCTCACAAAATTTCGCCTGTATAATAATATTACAATGTCACAGTCATAGTTTTCAGCATTCTTATTGTTTTCTTTTTTTGTAATTTTTTTATTTTTGTTATTTACATAAATAAGAGTTACATAATACAACATATCGACCACAAAACCTGTTTCTTTCAAGATTCTCAATTTTAGCTATCAATAAGAATTCAAACAAAGGTAGCCTGATAAATAAAAGTACAAAAAAATAATTAAATTCTTTATATTAATATGCCAAATAGACAACTAGTATGAGAATAATAATTTATAATATTAGGTAACTATGTCACTGTAGTATTACCACAGAACAGAGTTGAATTATCCGCGTACATATAATAAGATAACGATATTTTAAAATTTCGTGATTGCTATCTATTACAAAAGTGCTATTATTTTGAAGCAAATATATATAAATTAGACATTCAGGTTAGTGTCAGCATTTGTGAATGCTGAGTTATATGCATACGACCCTGGCGCACAGCAGGTTCGTTGCGTGCTCGCGCCTTACATCTCAACAGTTGCAGCGTGTTCTCCCACAGCTTGGTCTGCTCCTCGACCTCCCCTTGTCGAGAACTAATCACACGTTGTTCCTGGATTAAAAATTACAAATAGTTGCTTGTAACACATGATGACTGATAGAGTTACATCCGAGGTAGTAAGTAGTAGGGTGGGTGGGAGATGTTACATTTGAACATAGGTCAAAGTCAATAGTGTATAATATTTACGCATGCCGATTAAAAATTCGAATCTAATTACATACAATTAACTATCTCTAGCGATGTAGCTAAATGTATGTGCTTTGGTATGTAGTAAATATATATGACATAGAACTCATAAGAAATGTAAAAGTACTTTTACTATACTATTTTACCGCCCAGATGAATCTCTGTTCGTACAATGGTTGACTGGGAGAAAATTCCTCAAGATAAAGTCCACCTTTATTGTATGTGTACCAATAAATATTTTATATAGGTATATATATAATGAATGAGAGAAACTTAATATTATTTTCTTATCTTATTAACTTTAAATTAAATTCAAGTACCTCCTCCAAATTCTTCACTATATGTTCCACATCAACAACTTTTTTCTTCAATGCTTCCATTTTAGACGGTTTCCTAGGAGACTGCATAGAATTTTTCATTTCAAACATCACAACTTCTTGCAAACTTTCCGCTTTGGTAATTTTTTGCCTCAAGTTTTTCCATTCATCCTCTTTATTGCTCAACTGGTCAGTCAACTCCTTCACTTGATTCTTGAGGGGTTCCATTTGTGACGTTATATTTATAGAAGTCGCTTCATACACCCGCTTCTTTTGTTCATATTGCTGTTGAACTGACTGAAATTCCTCTTTTACTGGTTTTATTTTGTCTGCAAGCGGTTGAATTTCTTGGCGTACTTGCGATAATTTTTGTGCAGTTTGTGCAACCAACTATAAAATTAAGAATAAAAGGTAGTTGAAAAATTTGAAGCATAGGAATGTTAACATGAAATATTGTTACGATAGAAATACCTGAGACAAATCATGTAATGATTTCTTCTTTAAGTCTGCCGATTTTATTTCATCGTTATCCGTAGCTTGATCGTCCTCAATTTTTAACTTTTTGTGATTCAGTAATGCCATTTCAACTGTAGGGTCATTTGTACTGATTATATGTAAAGTTCTGGCCAAAATTCCAGCCTCGACCTAAATGAAAATTCGATTGGAATATTAATATAAATACTACCTAAATATTTCTATTATCTCAATACATAATTTATACAATAAAATAATCATTACCTTGAACGTAGAAAGATTCGCACGCTGCCGTTTATAGACAGTACTTTTTGTGCGTAATGAATTGACATATTTTTTCAATTCTTCCCCTCTAAGTACTGTATCTCCCAGGAGCTGCCTAACCTGAATATTTTAAGCATACTTACTTTACTTTTAGATAAGTGACATTTTAGACCTATTTATTACCTACACATTCAACATGACTGATATTGGGAACTGTATGAAAGTACCAACATTTGTTGAATAATCCTCTGTATACATACAACAAAGGCTTGTTTAGTAAATAATGCCAAGATTTGTACATTATAATACTCTAATAATCTTATAAGGGAATATTAACTTATTCCATTTCAAATATATCTTAATTCCAATAGGTATAACTGACATGAGATCAAATTATTTTTGACATCTCAAAGGAAATATCACATTATTGCGGACCAACTTCTTAGTCTTAATAACCCATTATTGGAAATGAGAAAAATGTTTTATCAGATGGGCGATTACGTAAGTCGCCTGATAGATGTTACAAAATAGCCTGAAGATTTCAATTAACTCCCAACCACTAATCAACGCCACTCTGAAAATCGGCTTCTATTTTAGTGCAAAAATCGGGAATTAACGAGATTTCCAATTTTATCTTCGCACGAAATCACAATTTTCTTAAGGTAAGTAACCATAAGTAGTGCCTATAACCATGTTTTTTTCACTGATTATAGCACAATTATATTTTACTTTCAAAATTTACTTCACAGGGGTAGGAAGTACATATACCAAGTTATGTGATATATGTGCGTGTATACATTTACTTCAATATATTTTAAGTTTTTATTTTAATTTATGTCTCTAAAGTATGTTTTAATTGTATGGTATGAAATTTAATCATTATTCCATAGTTATCATTATGTGTATGAATTACTTAAGTACAATATTTAATTTAATATATAACTAGTAAAGTATAATATTTATTTTGATTATGATTAATACTGCATCCTTGTAAATGGCTTTGGACGATTTACAGTGGTTTTTACCACGGAGAATACATGGTAAACACTACAACAATTCGACGACCTCGGTGGTCTAGCAGTTTAGCATACCGCTTTACGTCCGATGATCATGGGTTCGATTCCTCGCATGGCACAAACATTTGTATTCATGAGTATGATTGTTTTGTATCGGTCTGGGTGTTATGTATGTATTTACGAAAAAAAATATATCTATATATTTGTATCAGTTAGGTATCTAGTACCCTTAACACAACCTTGAGCTAGCTTAACTTGGGTCTAGATGGCGCTGTGTGAATTGTCCTGAGATTATTAACATTGTTATTATGGTATGTTAAGAAGTTCACCTATCTCCTAAATGAAAACCGCATTAAAGTTCATACAATGGTTTTATAGATTATAGCGAACATACAGAGTTGCGACAGGGGAGGGTCAACATTTTATAATATATATAAATAGATAGATAGGTACCAGTATTAGGTACTTGGCGCTTGTGCTAATGCAAATATCTAAGATAGTGGCACATAGTATACGACATTGCTTCGTTATCTGATACTAAAGTTTTGGATTTCTTTAATCCAAAAAGTAAGATAAATTTGATACTATCTACCATTATAAAATACTTCGCAACTAATAAAGACCATACTTGCGACTGTAGATCAGCGAGGGTAGCCTCGTGTTCTTTGAGCGTGGCAGCGAGCTCATGCACGCGTGCGGCACTTGCATCCTTATTACGTCGTATTACAGCAGCTTGCTGGCGAAATGGCGCTAATTTGTCCTCTTGAGGTCCGGCAGCAGCCAGTCGACGTTGGACCAATTGCTCGAGTTCACCGTTTACAACAGCTATCTAGAATGTTCAAGCACGTTTTCGTAACACATCACTTGCCTACGGACAAAGATACAGGCAATAGATAGATTTTAAATATTAATATAATTATATCAATAACATTCTTGACATAAATACTATGTCTTGTTTCAAATACTTAGGTACTATCTGTTTGAAAGCCAATTGCATGTAAAATGTTAAAGCGCGAAGAAGTAGTAAACAAATAAATTATTATATGATATATGCCTACATTATAACCATACGCGAACGATTATGAAGATGTATGTCAAGATGGGTATTTGTTACTCTTTCACGCAAATACTACTGGATAAGGTTAAGAATAAAAGATGCATGATAATATAATAGGTATGTCGCTTATTCGTGGAACATCTGAATCACTACATAATTTATTTACGTACATAGAAATTTTAACTCAATAAAATAGTATCGATATTAGAAGTCGTAAATATCACGTGAGAAACTGAATTAATTAGCAGAACATTAAAATATTTATGTGCCACATGCAAGTCGTATTAAAGGCTACCAACCTCGCCGTCTGTAGTTATGCTCGAGCTTTGATGGAATCCTTTGAATTTACTACAAACGTGAACATAACCCCTGAATGTTGTTTACCTGTACATTTTTCTTTTAGTATTTTCACCATTTCTCTGGCCTTGTACATTTACACAGTTCTAGTATACCTGAGCTGTATAAATGTACAAAGGAATAAGTATAAACGTAGTACCTACTTACATTTATACTTATTCCTTTCTGTAGATATATGAACATCAAAGCGTCAAAGGATATTAACTTCTAATAAGATTCCATGTTTTCTGTTCATATCAGTCAAATATGTACGTTAAAATGAACCTAACTACCTATGTACAAATTTAAATTGAATAAATAAAAATACAATATGAATCAAAGTAGAAGCATCCACGTAAAATGCTTTTATTAAATTTATGTAGTTACCTTGAACTTCGTAATCCTTTAAAATAATGAGCTGATAAAGGTAACAAAAACTGCAGAATCAGAGTTTATTACGCTGAAAATAATAGCACTGATTCTTGAAATCTTATTGAATTGCAATGTTGGGTGAAATATAATAGATATATATTATAGAATCCCCACCTTATCTTGTACCAATACGAGATCGGACCGCGTCGGGTGGTGCTCCACAGCAATCGTTTGCATTATGTTTAATTCTTTCTGAAGATTCGCCATCTCTTGAGGTAGCTTTTCTTTTACGAGATAACTATTGAGCTGTAAATAATTACTTTATAAAATTACACGCTAATAATTAAACTATTAGAAAACAAATAATGTAGTGTCTAGAATCAAAATATAAAATATGCACCTTCACGACTATTGTTCCATATAATTTTTTATATTAATCTCTGCACTAAGCAGAGATTAATATTATACAAAAATTAAATTTTATATTTGTGACTTAAATATATAAATGAATACCTATATATTATTATAAAAGTTAACAATGTGTCTAATCTAATCTGATGTTGTTGTAACTGGCTAATCAGATATATATTTTATATTCTAAATTTGTATTTAAATTTATAGTTCTTTTATATTACATTAATTAAGTTACCTAATTGTCAGTAGTCTATATTAATATATTTTCTCCGTTTTACCTAGTTTTTTTGTTATTACTACAACTATACCTACTATAAATATATTTAAGCACTAGTTGTTATCCACGAGTTCGTGGGCGTGGTATTTAATTTATTTTATTATTTAAATAATTTTTTTAATAAAAGTAGTCTAATTTAATGCTATAACATTTACTGAAATCAACGACATCAGCGAGTGAAAGTCCCGTAAATATCAGTACAGCTATTTTAGAGATGAAGAAACAGAAGGACCGAAATTTTTTAAATCTTATAGATTTACGTTTGACCTCAACACCTATTCATTAGCCATAATAATTACCTACTATTCGATATCTCTCACTATTACTATTATAATACTAAGATAATAAATAAATAATTACCTGAATTTCTTCTTGCAGGTGTTTAATAGCTTCATGTGCTGATTTTGGAGTAGCACTTTGTCCGTGAATAACATTCAAATATCTTTTCAATTGATCTGAAGCTAACTTCAATTGTGATTGTTGTATCTCATACTGTAAATATTTTTTATGCCTTATATGTACTAAAAGGGAGCAATGTATATTGTAAATCTGCTACAAATATGTAAACATGAACTCAACATAACATTCATTCAATTAAGGTAATACCTACAGGTCATTAGATACAGGATACTATATAATAACATAGCATACACTCTAATGGCAATGATATTGTGATGATGATGACGTTGACGATGTGATGACGTTTGTGACAATTGTGCGAAATTGACAGTGTACAATAACCTGACGCTTCTTCTAATGGAAGTTAGTAATGTTTCCATTAAAAAAAGCGTCAGGTTATATATTATTTCTCTTACATGTGAGATACAAATGTAGATTTAGTAGATTAATATTTATTGATTGAGTTTAATAAAATTATTCTTAAGAAAATTAAGTGATAAAATATTTGAATGATCTATAAAATTAAAGATCGTAAAAATACTAGAAGAAATAAATTAAAATCCATACCTGACTATCCAATTCCTTAGCCTTTTCTTGCTGAAATCTTAATGCTTTACTCACATTCAGCAATTCCTCCTTATTACTTACGTCAATTAAATTTACTTGAACATTTTCTAAACGTTTTATCACTGAAACATATTAGATCTGAATTCATATTCATATAGGTAGTAATTACCTACTTTCAACATTGAGTATACGAAAGCTGAAATTGGTGGGCCAGTTGTAAGCAAACGTCAAAAGTTTGCGTAATCGGGGGTCGTGTTTTACAACTATCCTAACAGAATGTTAATGGGACAAAGCATAAAAGTAAACTGAAATGTTACTATTAATACACACCAATGTCTCTTTCTACGGCCATTTCCTTTATATCATTAATAATTTCCGTTGCGCTCTCTTTCCTCAACATTCTTGTTCTCTTATGTACGTCCTTGAATTCATCTATCAGGTTTTGGTATAAATCTAACATGTCCTGAATAGTGTTGTTTCGAGCCACTTCAGTCGGTATGTCAGGAATTTTCAAATATCTGACATTAATAAACAGAACATAGGTAATAAGATCAGGTTTTATTCCTATATTGTTTTTATTAGATATGACGTAATAAACATTTAATTTCCCCCATTTATGATTAACTGTAATTCTTAATACATAGAACTATAACTTAGAATGTTTTCATATGCACATATGAAAACATTCTAATAAATGCTAATGACTGTAGGTAAAATAAAAAAACAGAAAGAAAGAGACAGAAACTACTGCAAACGTAGAAAGTAAAAATAAGTCCAGAAATAGTAGTACTAAAGATAAAACTTAATCATTTCTAAAATAAAGTCAAAATTATTGTTACTAATTGTTCAATACTGATTCATAAAGTATTATACGGATAATTATTGACGCATAAATACGACACGTCATATTTATAAGCTAGTTATTGAAGTCGCTGGCGGAAGACCCAAAAAAAACCAATTTTTATAAGTAAACTAAATTTAATTCTAAAAATTAATTATTACAATTATATAGGTGTCTTCGGATCGATGTGTGATCCGTAAGTGCAATTATATAAAATTAAAAATCAGGGAAATGGGTGTTATTGCTGTGGGGACTAAAATGCTGATTCGACGCAGGTGGTTTTCTCGGTAGCGCACCTTCTTGCGTCATGCTTGGTGGTCCGATCCGATCGCCGTTGAGGATGTGTCGTAATACTTGCTAGGTATCTACTATAACACCTCCCCGTTCAGATTAGCAATTATTTTTGAAGCTTCAGCTGAGAGAATATTGCGGACTGTGGCATCTCGATACTGGTAGGGGTTTCAGTTTCAGGGGGCAGTTCTTCAGGTGTACCTTGATTAGTCTTATATTTCCATACTGTAATTATTATAAGACAGCCCAATATAATGATGTAAAGTGGAATCGTAGTATGAAATAGGAACGATTTTGAGGTTTGCTCGTGTGTAGGATGCTGCAAGATCACCTTGTGCTGAATTTCATGAAGTCTTGTAAGGTCTATTGATTTAAGATTTACATGAGGTATTTTATGGTCACGGAGTTGCATATTCTGGGAGAATTGCAGTATCTTCATAGGTTGTCCTTCCACTCTATTATTAATGTTAGTTATGGTGAATTCCGGGGTATAAAGAAAGCAGTTTACTGGGATTGTTGCGAGATAACTTCCATTCAGAATACTGTAAGTTTCTTTTCCACATAGTGTATGAATTGTAGTAGCATTGGGGAATGATATTATATAGTGTCTCTCATCTAGCTCTTCCATAGCCACTTTAGATAGGTTAACTGTTGCTACTTCGCAGACTGGGTCGATAGATTGCTTGAATATAAGATTCTGTATGCAGTCAGGATGCTGTCGAAGTTGATGATCCATCTTATCTCCGCAGACATACCAATTTTCATACTTCGGGCATTCTGCCTCTATATACACATAACCTTTCCTGTTAGTTGCAATCAATGGATAAGGAGGAATGAGGACCTGCTTATATTTATTGGGAGCTACAGCCAACTTGTATAAATCGTAACTATCTGAGGAAAATATGGGTATTTTAAAACTAATAACTATCTGATTATCTGAATAATAGAAACCTGGCTTAATTATATCGTAGTATACCCTAAGTTCTAAGTTTAATATTCTATCCTTACCATAAATCTTAACTAACTTCTGGACCATTTTGTTTAAAGTATCGATTTTAATCATAGAATGATGCATAGAAGAAGCGCGAATGAAAGCTAATATATTTTCGATTCTAAATAGTTCATTTAATACGTCGTCTATATTTTCAGTTATAATTGCTAAGTATTGAGCGAATTTAGCGTATTTTATTAGGTCGTTATCTGAGTGAGCATCGTTATCGTATAACAGCTGCAAAGTCTCGTTAATTTTTACCTGATTTTCAACTAATTTATTAACTATATCCGTATGTTGAGCCATCCACTCCTTACTGAGGCTGATATGACTTTCAAGCTCATGATTTACTTTTATGTCATTACTTTGGAGAATTTTGATAGCATTGTCATACTTAATAGCGTCAGATTGATCTAGGTTTCCCGTGATACTTTTTATTATAGAGCCTATACCATCGACGAGACCTCTCCGTACACGCTTTGGCTGTAATGTATCTAACTGATCTTTAACCTTACATAATTTATTAGATAAATATTCTATTTGAAGTTCGTATAGTATGTATGTATCATTAGTTAACATAATTTTATAATCTAATAGCTGGTTCTGTACTAATTCTAACGTATTACTAATATTATCTAATTGTACGTGCTGTAGAAACGTATGGTAATGGGTTATAAGCCTTGTTGTTCCAAGTCGGAATGGTAGCAGTCCAGGACCATCATCGAGACTCTCAAGTGTTATCTCCTGATTGATCTCTTGAGGAGTTATCAAAGGAGCAACCAGGATCAGAAGCACCCTGTAACAATTGGGCACTTTTAGGGGTTCTCTTTAATCTGCGTTTTGCGACGGGTCCCTTTTTCTTTGAGGTATATATATGTATAGGAAGATCGGCAAGAACTGTATCCTGACTATATCTAGGGGCTATTTTCTGACGGCTAGCTAATGGGTTACTAATATATACAGTTTGTTGAGGTTGATATTCAAATTCTGGCTCTCTATTTTTATTACGATTTTCCATTATACGGGTGCGGCTTTCCAGCGATGCCTCTCCTATTGTGTCGTAAACTAACTGCATTCTTTCTCTATGATTTTGTATATACTGTTGAAATAGGTGCCTACTTATATCCATGTCGAGAGGATCTCGGGGATCTAAATGGCCTGTTATAATATCATAAGGTCTGCATTTTGTAAAAGAATGTATAGAACTATTATAGGCTAAAATAGCATACGGAACTAGATTAACTACGTCCTCGTCGTTATGTTTTAATTTGAGGATACGTAAATGTTCTAATAAAGTACTATGGAATCTCTCTACTATTCCATTATCATTTGGGGAATGCGGTAAAATCTTATGATGATTTATTTTATGCAAAACAGTAAATTCATTAAATAACATATTTGTAAATTCTGTGCCGTTATCAGATACTATCGATAACGGTAGACCATGGTGTGTGCAGAATTTTAAAAGGGCTTGTAATATACTAATAGCTGTGCTATCCCGTATGTGGTATGCCTGTGCATATTTAGAAAACACATCTACGATAGTTAAATATTTTTCATGATGTATGGTGAATAGGTCTATATGTACTACTTCAAAGGGCTTTGTAGCAGGTGGAACTATACGGAATTGTGGTCGTATAGGATTACGATCGTATTTGGCTTGACCACAAATGGCACAATCATTAATTATTTTTGTTACTTGGTCCTTCATTTTAGGCCAGTAGTAACGTCTTGATAGAGCTAAGTAGCACTCATTAATGCCGCGGTGATTAGTTTTCCCTTCATGATAATTTTTAATTATATCCTGTTGTCTTAAGTATTCTTTTACATTCTCAACTTCAGACGTAGTCAATACAAGTTGCATCGCAGAGCTTTTAAACTTATTTTGAATAATTGGTACTATATCATACATTGCTAACCGTGGGTTAATAAATAGTGCGGTTTTAATTTTAGGATTAACATATTCTTTCATAATTTCTACAATATCGCTTTCTAAATTTGTCTCGGATACTTGAGCAGATATCCTTGTGTGTGTTTCAAAAGGCTTCGATGTGGTAGCACGCTTTCTGATGTCACTAACTACGGTAATGACGAGCTGTCTATGAAATTTATTCAGTGGTTGGTCAACTATTGGAATCTCTAATATTGGGTTTTCTCTACTAGTATGAGCAGATAGAGTAGATGAATTTGAAAGAGGGCGTTCAGATGGGTTGACAACCAGTGAATTAGCTTCCTCGTTGTGAATTTCAATACGAGAAAGGGCGTCGGCGTTAGTATTATTTCGTCCCTTTTTGTAAACTACTGAAAAATCGAACTCGGATAATTTTAGCTTCCAACGAATTATTCTCGAGTTCGGTTCCTTCAAACTCATTACCCATTGGAGGGGTTTATGGTCCGTGACAATTTTGAATTTACGACCAAATAGATACGGCCTAAAATATTTAGTCGCCCAGACAATAGCAAGAAGCTCCTTTTCAATCGTACTATAGTTGGCTTCGCTGTCATTAAGGGTACGCGATGCAAAGCAAATGGGTTTGTCTGAACCTAATGTACCCTGGGACAATATCGCGCCTAAAGCTACATTAGATGCATCAGTCGTTAAAATGAAGTCTCTTGCAAAATCCGGGTACTGTAAAATCGGATCGTTAGTTAAGAGAGTTTTACACTTCTCGAAACAACTAACATATTCTGAATTAACTATTACCTTCCTACCTTTTTTCAGACATGTCGTTAATGGTTTAGTAATAGTAGCGAAATCGGGAATAAACTTTCTGTAATATCCAACCAAACCAAGAAATTGTTTGATTTCTTTCGGTGTTTTTGGAAGAGGATAGTTCTGAATAGCTGTAATTTTGTCGGGGTTTGGTTTAATTCCATCCTTGGTGATTATATGCCCTAAATAAGCGGTTTCAAGCTTGAGAAATTCGGATTTATCCATCTGGATTTTAAAATTCGATTCTCGTAGTTTTTGAAATACCTTGTCAAGATTGATCATGTGTTCCTGGAGAGAGGTACTGAATACAATGATATCGTCTAAATATACTAAGCATACAACGTTTTGAAGGTCCTTAAGAACATTGTCCATTACCCGTTGGAAAGTAGATGGGGAATTTTTTAAACCCATGGGCATGCGTAAAAATTCATAATGTCCGTTCTCAACGTTGAATGCTGTTTTAGCAATATCACTGGGTTCCATCTCGACCTGATAAAACCCACTGGCAAGATCTAAAGTAGAGAAGTATTGACAGTTTCCGAGTTTATCTAGAACATCTGTAATATTAGGAATAGGGTACTTATCGTCATATGTTTTTTCGTTTAATTTTCTGAAGTCTACTACTAATCGCCATTTAGTTTTACCCGAAGCGTCAGCCTTTTTGGGTACGACCCAAATAGGT